CATAAAGCATATTACAGGTGTATTACACAACCCTATGGGACAGGCAGTTATAGAAAGACCTAATCGAACTCTAAAAGAAATGTTCAATAAACAGAAAGAGGTAATAATGACCCCTAGAGAGAGATTACACAATGATTTATTAACTTTGAAACTTTTAAATGCTAATAAAAAGGGAACAACCACTGCAGAGAGACTTTTGATAACAGAAAAAACCCACTAAACTGAATCAGTCTGTGTACTTTAAAGATGTGTTGACCTCAGAATGCAAACCAGGATGTGTGTTACATGGGGGAAGAGGTTTTGCTCTTGTCTCCACAGAAGAAGAAAATTCATGGATACCATCAAAATTGATAAAGATGTGATTCAAACATGAAAGATCTCTTGATTAGGAGAGGTAATAAGTTTGTCAAACAACATGGCAACTCAACCTGGCCAAAAAGAAAACTCCCCAAAATTAAGGTCAGGGCAGGATTTTGTTTCTATCTTTCCAGGAGAATAAAAACATCCAACTAAAGAATCTGAAGACCTTTGGACAAATGAAGGATCCAAAGAAGAAAGGAGAACCATCTGGTAAAATATACCAAGAAAAGGGGTAATACACTGGCCTAATGGTACAGCACACTCCCAACAGGGTAAAATTTCATAAACCTTTCAAATGTCTGTTTCTGCTGGTCTCTACAACCATGTTAGACACATGGTCTTTATGTGGTCCCGACTCAGTTAAAACTAAAGTTGGCTTTGGAGGTGGAGTGTGACTCTCTCCTTCTCTAGAGCCAAGCATGTTTGTTAAAGAAAATCCAAAGTCTCTATCTCATATCAGAAGAACCACCTGGAATGGGACAGAAAAAAAAAATCTAGGGACAATTATATTGTCACTAATCTCATATCCCTCAGATTTATTTAGAACTTTTCTTATGGTATAAATACTACCTCAAAATTAAAACTTTCTGTTTTGATATTAATGGTCGTATAGAGTACTAACTAATTCTAACCTTAGACTTCATATAGCTTTCTGTATGCGACATCAGACCTGAGTCTGAAGCAGGTATTTAGGAATTAAACCTATATATCCTGGGTGTATTTAATAGATTATGGTCCTTTAACCTCCCTAAGATCTACTGAATGTAACATTTAAATGTTTAAGTTTTCTGCAGTGAATGACATTCTTTTTTTCTTTTTTTTAAATTGATATTTATTGAGCTCTACATTTTTCTCTGTTCCCCTCCCTGCCTCTCCTCTCCCCCTTCAACCCTCCCCCAAGGTCCCCATGCTCCCAATTTACTCAGGAGATCTTGTCTTTTTCTACTTTCTACTTCCCATGTAGATTAGATCTATGTGAGTCGCTCTTAGTGTCTGCATTGTTGTCTAAGTTCTCTGGGATTGTGTTTTGTAGGCTGGCTTTCTTTGCTTTATGTTTAAAGACCACCTATGAGTGAGTACATGTGATAATTGTCTTTCTGTGTCTGGGTTACCTCACTCAAATAATGTTTTCTAGTTCCATCCATTTTCCTGCAAAATTCAAGCTGTCGTTATTTTTTTCTGCTCTGTAAATGTACCACATTTTCCTTATCCATTCTTCAGTCGAGGGGCATTTAGGTTGTTTCCAGGTTCTGGCTATGACAAACAAAGCTGCTATGAACATAGTTGAGCACATGTCCTTGTGGCACGATTGAGCATCCTTTGGATATATACACAAAAGTGGTATTACTGGGTCTTGAGAAAGGTTGTTTCCTAATTTTCTGAGAACTCACTACACTGACATACAAAGGGGCTGTACCAGCTTGCATTCCCACCAGCAATGCAGAAGTGTCCCCTTTACCTCACAACCTCTCCAGCATAAGTTGTCATCAATGTTTTTGATCTTGGCCATTTTTTCAGCCTAAGATGGTTCAGACTACTCATTGCCCTGCCTCTACTTCCTGTCTGGCTACTGGCCAATCAGCATTCTATTAAAAAATAATACAAGTGGGGCTAGAGAGTTGGCTCAGCAGTTAAGTGTACTAGCTACTGGTTGTTCTTCCAGAGGTCCTGAGTTCCATTCCTGCAACCATATGGTGGCTCACGACCATCTGTAATGAGATCTGGCGCCCTCTTCTGGCATGTCTGTCTACCTGCAGGCAGAATATTGTATACATAATAAATACATTCTTTAAAAAAAAATAATACAAGTGACAGGATAAAAGACCACTGACCCACAGCACAGACCTTCAAAATTTCCTGCTTCACAGAAAGGTCTGTCAGATATTCTAAGCCTGTAGGCCAGGTATGGATGTCCCAATGTTACAGAGGAAACTTGGGTGACTGTTTCCAGACAGCCAGATGTTTCTGTCATCTCTTAATTTTTTGGAAGACACTTGCTCTGCACTTCCTGTTTACTTAGGAAGTGGTATATCCTTCTCAGGTCTTTAACAGGGTTAACTGAATAGTTACAGTCATCACAAAACTTTGAACTCTTCAGGAGAGGACAGTTAATGGAGTAATCTCTCTAAATTTCCCAAACACATATTCAAATACATTGAGAATGTATTTCCTACTTGATAATTGTTGCTGTTATCTATAACTTCATTTTTGTTAAGGTTATTACCTTCCTTTCTATTTAGACATTATCTGATTATCATTCTTATTGTATATCATTTTACTATGTTAGCATTAGAAACTTTACTTTTTAATTAAACCAAAGGGGGGTAATGTTGTGGGAATTTTGTCTGTGTTGTGGTCTGATGCTCAGTGAAGTCAGGCATTGGTTAGAGAGGCAGAGTTCACATTCAGTTGGCCAGAATGGATCACAGAGTCCCCCGCAAACTTAAGAAAAGGAGGTCTCCAGCGAATAGGAGGCTGGCCGGAAGCTTGCAGGGGCCTTTTTGAGCCAAGAAGCAAATGGTGGCGGGTGTGTCACAGCCATGGTGATTGTCTCAGGTTCTTATATTTATGTCTGCCCCAAGTTGTTTGTTATAATAAATGGTAAAAATAAATCACTCTAGTTCTACTGAGAATAGTTTCTGAGGGTTTTGTTTATCATCATGAGGCATTAGTTCAGATATGGAGTTGGGCAGAGAATGACCATTTCAAAAGCGAAAACTAGCCCGAGAGAAAGTAATCAGCCTCTGAACCTGCAGAATCCCCATCTCTCCATAGTACTGAAATCCCAACTGGACCCGCAGTCTCTGCAGACAAAGAGCTTCTTGCTAGGAGTTCTGTTCACAGCCAGACCCAGCTTTTTTCCCAGGAACTTTCAATCGCAACGGTATGCGAGGCAAGTGTATGAGCACTGAACAACACTCCAAACTCCCCGCTGGTCTTTAGGGGGGAAAGCAGTGGAATCCCAGCACTCGGGAGGCAGAGGCAGGCAGAGCTCTGTGAGTTTGAGGCCAGCCTGGTTTACAAAGAGAGTTCCAGGACAGCCAGGGCTACACAGAGAAACCCTATGCTCCCCCACACACAAGAAAGAAAGAAAGAAAGAAAGAAAGAAAGAAAGAAAGAAAGAAAGAAAGAAAGAAAGAGAGGAGAGAGGGAGGGAGGGAGGGAGGGAGGGAGGAAGGAAGGAAGGAAGGAGGGGAGGAGCGAGGGAGGAGGGAGAGAGGGAGGGAGGAAGGAAGGGTGGGTGGGTGTGTTTTGACTCACAGTGAAAGGTCCTGCCCACTATCGTGGGATCATAATGACATGAACATGGCACAGGTGGTCGAACTGTGTCTGCAGTCAGGGAGCTGAGAGACATGTACACCAGTGCTCAGCTCACGTTGTTTCTTTTTGCATGTGCACGGGTGTGTATGTATGCGCCGCTGTGTGGGGGGTGGGGTGCCAATGAGTGCCAAGGCCAGAGGTTGGCATCAAATGTCTTGCTCCATCCATCTCCTCTCAGTTTGTTTGAGGCAGGGTCTCTCACTTGAACCCAGACCTTGCCAACTTGGCGAATCAGCTTGCTTCGGGAATCCTGCTTCTGGTTTCTAAGGGCTGGGATTGCAGACCAGCCACCCTGCCCCACATTTATGTGGACCTCGGGGATCTGAACTCTAGCCCTCATGACCTTTACCCACTGAGTCAGTTTCACAGCTTCAGCCCAGCATCCCATCCTGCCTTCCCACCTCAGTCAGCCTATCGAGAAACTCCCTCACAGACACACCCAGAGGTCTGTCTCCTGGGTGGTTCTGGGGCCTCTCAAGTTAACCATCACAGGCATACTAGGCCCTCGTGGAGCTCATCTTTCTGACCTAAGGGATCTTTTGAAAGAGAAGGTGGAGTCGGGAACAAGAGGCTGGGGCAGTTTGACAGGATCAGCTTGGGAAATGCTGAATCACTTAGTTGTCCTTAAACCCCGAATCACTAGCCCATCCCTGGGATCAACGCCGACTGGGATTCCACCGAAGATGGGAGGAGCTCTAATTTCACGCCCACACTTAGAGGCGCCTGGAATTTTGTTTCTGAATTCGGTCTCCTGGGGAGAGAGGATTCGCATCGCTCTAGACCCATATAGGTCTAACTACATACTTGGGAAAACCAAAAAGGCTGGCACTGCTGGCTCCTGTAGGTGTAAGGATTACATAAAAACGGTCCTGTAAATGCGAGCCTGCTCTCCCACGTGGATGCGCACCGAGACCTCCAGACGCGCAGAGCTCGCCCACACCTGTTAAGTCTCCTCCCAGGCTCGGTTCCCTAAAGCAGGCAACCGGGAATCGACCCTACAGCGGTTCAGCGTTAAGTAACCTCAGTGCAGAAGCAAGTTCCCCAGAAGCAAACATTTACATTTTGCACAAAACGACGGGCTCCGGTCCAAGAAAACTACGTAGCACTTGTTTTCCTCCTTTTGAGGTTTTCCCAAAATAGTTGCTTCCATCCGACTGCCACGAGTCCTGCTGACCCCTAACGATTCCTTTGGGAGCAGGTCCCTCACCCGCACTCAGTTCCGAGCTCGGATCACTACCCCGGCGGGCTTGAGGAAAGAGGCGGACCCTTCGAGAACAGATGGCCCCTCCTCGGAGGGGAGGGACCGACGCCCAGGGCCTTGTTCTCTAGCAGTCGCTGCGCCGGGTCCCAGAATAGTCCTGCGCCACGATTCGAACCACGCGTGGCCCGCTGCCCAGCCGGCCCTGCAAGCCGGTGATCCGCGTGTCCCTCCGATATGTCATCCTGCAGCCGCGTGGCGCTGGTGACCGGGGCTAACAAGGGCATCGGTTTCGCCATCACGCGTGACCTCTGTCGGAAGTTCTCGGGGGACGTGGTGCTCACCGCCCGGGACGAGGCAAGGGGCAAGGCGGCGGTGCAGCAGCTGCAGGCGGAGGGCCTGAGCCCGCGCTTCCACCAGCTGGACATCGAGGACCTACAGAGCATCCGCGCACTGCGCGACTTCCTACGCAAGGAGTACGGGGGACTTAACGTGCTGGTCAACAGCGCGGGCATCGCCTTTAGAAGTAGGTGCGGGGCTCCAGGAGGAGGTGCCCGGGGTTCTTCGAGGGTGCTGGGCAGCGAGCGTTGGCGATCCGAGAGAGAGGGCTGAGCCGTCTCCTCTGGGCGCGCCCGGCTCACACGCTGCGCGGCGGGTTCCCGCGTGCCATGACTCGGATGCGGGCCTGCCCGGGCGCCCCACTCCACGCCCCGCCTGCCCAGCCGGCCGGCGGCCTGTGCTGGCCTGTGCGCTGCCGGAGGCCGTCCTTGGAACTTTCAGCTGCGCCTGTTTGCGAGAAAACCGGCCTCTTGGGAGTGGGCCACGCCTTACCAAGCTCATCAGCTTTCTGTCCCGCGCACGAAGACTTTTCTCACAGAAGGGTCTTCCAAAAGCGGTTAGAGCTTTCGCTTTGCGTCAAACAAGGGCGCATTCATAGATGCCAGAAGACATCTGCTAAGGACAGGAAATGGGTCGCCCAGACACAATTAGCGCGCGCTGGCACGATAGTGGGTTTCCTACAGGCTTTAATGGGGCGTTTGAAGAAGCTCTAGCGAAAAGGAACCGAGCCCCCGCTTCCCTCCTCCTGGGCACTAAGGTTTATTGCCAAACTTGCAAGTGTGGTTTTGAAAAGTTTCTTCCTGGGGGGGGGGGGATAAAAATCGCTTACTCTAATAAATGCTCAATTAACAAAGTTATCCAGTTGTCCGTGCTGGGAGCAAAAACAAACAGGCCAGTTTCACTTTAAACGCTGGTGGGACAGAGACAATTGTGGAGCCTGGGCAGCCACCTGTGCCTTGCATGAGACCCAGGATACACTTCCACCGGCCCGCACTTCCAAACTCAGCCCCGGGACTTGAGGGGGGGCGGGGAGTTCACCATCCCAGCAACTGTCAGCCGCTGATTGAGGGGGCGTGATCCTTGGCCCTGCAAAGCTCCCGCTTCTTCTGGAAGTGCGAGCGCTGAGTGTGCAAACCCGAACCCCAGCCGTCCACAGGGAAACTGAGGGCTTAGATCTGCATTGTCACCCTCTACCCTGGAACCGCCTATGTGCGTCCCAGCTTGAGATGGGAAAGCCCAACTAGGTGTTTCTTGAGAAACTTGGGGTGTGGACCAGAAAGTTCTTTCCCTACATTCACAAGAGCTTTACAACTATCAAGGTCTAGTTTAAAGATTGTGCGTGTGTGTGTGTGTGTCTGTGTGTGTGTGTGTGTGTTGGCAGATGTATACATCGCCATGCTCAGCAAGATTGTTCTAAATTTAACTTCCTTCTTCTTTGCTATGTGCTGGGATCCACCTTCTCCCTGGAGTTTCAGAGGGAAATGTAATTCCTCTTTTTTTGCTTATGCTTTTCAAAGTGGATGATTCAGCGCCCTTCGACATTCAAGCAGAGACAACACTGAAGACGAACTTCTTCGCCACTAGGAATGTCTGCTCGGAGTTACTGCCCATCGTGAAACCGCATGGTAAGTCCAGTGTGGGACTGATGTCCCTCAGGAAGCAGCCAGACAGGGCCGCCTACAGGAGCCACCCGAGCTGCTATGTGCTCATGAGTTGCGGGTAGAAAGCACCTTTTTTCTCCCCTCAAAGTGTCTGACTTCTCCCTTGAGGCTTTTAGCTGTGGTTTTCAGAGCTCTGTGGGACAGACTGGTGTTCTTGGAGTAGCTGTCATGAACTCAACCCTCCAACACAGGACAAAGCATGTTCCCAAAGATCGTGATGTCAGAGAGTCCTCCCCTAATATTGCAAGGATGGGCCCGCCCTTGGCTTGTCTGGCCTTATGACATTCCTTCTACCTTTCTTCTTGTATAAAATTTCAAAAAACTTACATGAAAGTTTTTATTCTAAATGTTGTACACTGATTGAGAGAATCCACAAGCAATTTTATTTGGTGGGAAATACCTTACCTGAGGGTTCAACAGATTATTAATTTCCCTGTAATGACATTTATGCCAGTGCTGGTGATGTAAACATGAGAACCATCTCATCCACAGAGCCTGGCACTGACTTGGAGACACAGAGATTAATTAACAAAGATTCAGGCCTGGGAAATGGCCAGCTCTCCTGGGGGAGAGGAGCAGAATGCTTCTCTGAAGATTTTTTTTCCCCCAAGATTAGCTGTGATAGTGAGGGGAAACCCTACGGCTGTTGTTTTTTTAAATGTAATTTTCAGAGCTGGAGAAATGGTTCAGCAATTAATAGCACTTGTTGTTCTTTCTGAGGACATGGATTCTGTTTTCATGGGTCCCAGCATAGGCATAACTCACAGTCATCAGTAATTCTAGTTTCAGGGGATCCGACACCCTCTTCTGACTTCCTTGGCCACAAGGCATGCACATACATAATGCACATACATACATGCAGGCAAAACACTCATACACACACATAAAATAAATATAAAAAATAAAATCTAATAAAATAAATCTAATAAATCTCAAAAAAAAAACCCAAAACAAAAACATCCTACTTTTGCTTCCTGGGTGCTGGGATTCCAGGGGTGTTCCACCACACCCGTTTAGCTGTAGGAAATTCTCAATCTGAAAAGTGTGGTAAGAGATGAACATGAATTCCTGACCACCCACCTGCTCACACCCAACCTGCAAGGTCAGTCCTCCATCATTTTCTTAGTGTGACAGGATTACAGAAAGTGGGCACTCCACACCCGTAGTCCCCAAACTCAGGAGCCTGAGATTCTGGAGGTCAGTTTGACCTACACCACCTGATCAAATACTCTTCATTCCATTGAAACAAGAATTATAGCATCAGCAGGGCAGAGGTGGCACACACATTTAATCCTAGCACTCGAAGGCAGAGGCAGTTGAATCTCTGTGAGTTTGAGGCCAGCCTGGTCTACAGAGAGAGATCTAGAACAGCAGAGGCTATACAAAAAAACCTCTGACTTGAAAAACAAAAACAAAAAACAAAATAAACAAACAAACAAAAAAAGGATTGTAGCATCAATGTGAACTAAGCTATTTGGAAGGTAAAGAAAAGCCCTGAGGAGCTTGCCTCAGGTTAGCCCAGGGTGTCAGAACAAGAGGAACCATGTCTTTAATCAAGCCTGCAATTTCCTCCCCAAAGGGAAATCTGATTTATAGTATAGCTAGAATATTTGGCTTTGCTAAATGTATATTCACTCAGGGATACAGTGCTAACCATCGTAGGCTCTTACTACTTAGCTTTTAGGAACATTACTTTTAAGGAACATGGGTCTTGCCTACTTGCTCAAGACAAAAATAGCTTAAGCCACTAGAGGGAGCTACTTGCCTGTTCTCTTTTAAAAGGCAGGCAATGTTTCTGGATGGGTGGAGTCTCTCTCTCTCTCTCTCTCTCTCACACACACACACACACACACACACACACACACACACACTCACCACATCTGGTTATGAGGCTGACCTTTGCTCGCCCCCGGTATTTCTCACACATGTGCACTCAGATCAAAGAGGACATAAGACAATTTTTCCCCATAATTCCTCGAAGAGATCCAGCAGCAGCTACAATTAGTGTTCACTTTCTTCTTTGCCCTCCGGTCCTCTCTCCCTTCCTTCCCTGTAGACTTTGCAGACCTGAAACCCAGGTTTAACCCAGGCTGGCCTTGAACTCATAGCAGTCCTCCTGCTCAGCCTCCCAAGTGCTGGAATTACATTATGAACCCAAAATGCCTCTTTAGTGGCTGTGAATTTTTGTCAATGTGAATATTAATTCTTATTAACGTTAATTAGCAAGTTATTGTTAATTTAGACTAATAAAATCAGAACCGGGGGGAGAATGGGTCTCCCTCCTGTGTAAATGTGGTCATCACTAGGTTAGTCACAACCAGGAGCGGACTGATTCTGGTTTAGGCTCAGGGGTGCAGGTGGGATGCAGGCAGCTGACCACAACCCTAGATAACTGTGTAAACTCAGGGAGCCGAGAGCTTTGATACTGAAGGAGAAAGGCGCGGTCCCTTGGGGTGCAGGTTATAAGTAGGTGAAGAACATGTGTTGAGGGAAGAGAGTTTTTTGTTTTGTTTGTCTTTTTGTTTTGCTTTCTCTAGACAGGATTTCTCTGTAGCTTTGGCTTTGGAGCCTGTCCTGGAACTAGCTCTTGGAGACCAGGCTGGCCTCGAACACTCAGATCTGCTGCCTCTGCCTCCGAGTACTGGGATTAAAGGCGTGTGCCACCGCCACCCAGGGGCTTTTATAGAAGTGCCCGGTGATTCTGTCACCTGACATGATGACTTGAGTCTAGAAATCCTAGCAGTAAGTCTGCCGGGTCTGGATTCAGGGGGTATTAGTGAAGCTTCTCTGACAGTTGCTTAGAAACAAACAAGAACACAATGGCAGCTAAAGGATATCTGTTTGTGCTGGATGGGAGCTCTGAACAGAGGAAAAGGTGGGCAGCTGATGCAGGAAGAACCGGGGATTGTAGTTTGCACAGCATATCTATCCTGGTGGCACAAGTGTTTAGGAGGCCGATCCTGGCCTGTGTATAGGGTGTGTTTGCCACTGTGGTATTTTTAACTATGGGGCTGTGGGTGGCCCCTGGGTCCCGTGTCTGTTCTTATGTGTCTCTGCTGTGAAAACATCAAACAGATGTGATTCTCAGGACTCCTTCCCTGATTCTGTATTTCACTTCCCTCTTGGGTGGTCCCCAGCTCCTACAGACCTTAAAGCACATCCTGTTAGGCCTTTTCCACTTATGCCCTTTTTACTCCGGGAAATTTATTGCTGCACCAGGTCTATGAAATAGGCATACAAACTGACATTTTCTGATGATGAACAATCAAGACGTTTATTTTAAAATAATTCCTATTATAGAGCTGAGGATATAGCTCAGTTGGTATAGCGCTTGCCAAGCATGCACGGATCCTGGGTTCAGTTCCTAGTGACATATATGCCTGTATCCAAAGGTGGAGGTGGGAGGATCAGGAATCCAGGATCATCCTCAGCTCCTTAAAGAGAGTTTGAAGCCAACCTAAGCTGCCAAGAAAAAAAAAATGAAGCCAGGTGGTGGTACACACCTTTAATCCCAGCACTCATGAGGCAGAGGCAGGCGGATCTCTGAGTTAGAGGCCAGCCTGGTCTGCAGAATGGGTTCCAGGACAGCCAAGGCAACAGAGAAAACCTGTCTCAAAAAACCCAGAATTTATCATTTAAGATTAAGGCAAACTTGCATACTAATGAGATGCATCTGCTTCTTCATTTACATAGAAGTTCAGATCTTGGTTGAATATTTGGTGCTGTAGGATGTAGCATATCTTCAAATTTTCCAAAAGTCAGGCAGTATTTTGACTTTATAATCATTGGTACCAATAACACCTCTTCACATAAATACCTATTACAAAACGGCGAAAGCGTGTTAGGGCCATTTCAAAAGTAGCTGCAAATCCTACATTAAAGATGCATTCCACTAATTTTTATGAAACTTAAACCAGCAACTCCAGCAATAGTAGAATAGAATTGCTGTGGAAAAAAGCCAGTGGTAGGGATGTGTTTGTCCCTTAGGATTACACACACACACACTTGCACGCACGCACACACTCACACGTGCCCCTGGGTGCATGAATTGTATGTCTTCTAGACTTGCTTTCTACTTTTATTTTTTGTTTAATTTCTTTGGGGTGTCTGTGTGTGTGTGTATGCGTGAGCATGTGTGTGCGTGCGCGCGTGTGTGCGTGCGCGCGTGTGTGTGCGTGTGCGGATGTGTGTGTCAGAGGACAAACCACAGGAATCAGTCCCTTTTCTTCCACTTTGGGGCCTCAGAACGGAACTCAGGTCATCGGGCTTGGAGGCAAGTTCCTTTACTTGCTGAGCCGTCTCTGCGGCTCCACCTTCTATTTTTATCAGCAATTAAACACAAACTGCATGGTGACCGCAGCGGCGCACGCAGCCTAGCGCCCCACGCAGCCTAGAGCCCCACACAGTCTAGCGCCCCACACAGCCTAGCGCCCCACACAGCCTAGTGCCCGCTGGGATGCAATGCTCCCCGGTGTTGTCTGTTGCAGGGAGAGTGGTGAACATCAGCTGTCTGCAGGGGTCAAAGGCTCTGGAAAACTGCAGTGAAGATCTTCAGGAAAAGTTCCGATGTGACACCCTTACAGAAGGGGACCTGGTCGACCTCATGAAAAAGTTTGTGGAGGACACCAAAAATGAAGTCCACGAGAGGGAAGGTTGGCCAGACTCAGCCTATGGGGTGTCCAAGCTGGGGGTGACAGTCCTTTCAAGGATCCTGGCCCGGCAGCTGGATGAGAAAAGGAAAGGAGACAGGATTCTACTCAATGCCTGCTGCCCGGGATGGGAGGGCTCCAGGACCGCGGAGGAGGGGGCTGAAACCCCTGTTTACTTGGCCCTCCTGCCTCCAGATGCCACTGAGCCTCAGGGCCAGCTGGTCTGTGACAAAGTCGTGCAAACATGGTGAACATCTGCTCTGACTTAATGGTATAGTAAACGTTGGCGAGAAATGAACGGAGACTGACATAGTTTGATCCTCTCTGCACATCGAGAAAGAAGGGCCCTTCGTACCTGCGTGGTTCCACAATCAAAATCTGAACGATTTGCTGTGTCCAAACTCTTTTCCGTCCTAATCTTGCATCAAGTCAATTGGTACTGCTCTGTTTTTCAAATAAAAAAATAAAAAAGGTTTGCTTTTACTTTATGTATATATGCAAGTGCCATGTGTGTATGTGCACAGGCGTGCGTGTGTGTGTGTGCACGCGTGTGTGTGCACACCCGTGCCATGTGCATGCCTGGTTCCCACAGAGGCCTAAAGAAGGCGTTGGATTCCCTGGAACTGGAGTTACAGATGTTTCTGAGAGACCCTTACAAGAGCAGCAAGCTCTCCTAACAACCAAGTCATCTCTCCAACAGCCTGCTTTTACTTCACTGACAAAATCCAACATCTACTCAACCAGGCTGTAGCTTCTACACCACTAACGGTCCCAGCAAGCTTCTGTGTGGCTTCCACAGCCACGTGTCCCCCCTGCAGCCAGTCTCCAGAGTCCTGCTGCTGGTGGGGACCTAGCGAGGAAGCACCCAGCAAGGCAGGCTCTACTTAAACACAGGAAGTGGAGAAGTCAGCTGCCTAGTCTTTCATTTCTCCTTCCTCTCCAGCCAATCCCAGCTTTGAGGGTGGAGCCACGAAGCTTAGGAGACCCTTGAGACTGCACTGCAGGAGAACACTCACTGGATGTGCTGCCTCTCCCCTGGATGCTCATGGTTGAGTGACAAGTGTAGGTGACTTGGTCTCGCTCTAATAAAAGCAGGACTGGTAGAACTGGCTTAGGGCTGGAGCTGTGAATGGCCACACCCCATCCACGTGGTCAGAAGGACGGACCCAGGCAGGCCGTAGACAGAGGGAAAAAAATAGGTCAACCCTCAAGAGGATCATTTACCAAGTGGCCTGGGGACTAGCTTCTTTCCCAAAATGTCTCTTCCCTTGCCTCAGATAGGTCCAAAGAGCGTGGGCATCTAGGAAATGCTTCAAGATGATCTCATGTGCCTATAATTCCTCATCCCCTTATCTAGGTGGAATTAAACAGCTGCTGACAGTTGAAAGGAACTTAAGTCTAGAAATGGTATGCTGTAGAGAAAATAATAATTGAGTTTAGAACCCAAAGGGAAGCAAGGTCACGAACTAAAGACCCACCACTTATTGGCTTGCATGTCATGCTGGTGTTTCCCAATGTGGCTCTGTGTAACCAGTGTGGTAACGCGGCATGTCTGATGACACTATCATTTTCCTTGCTGTTCCTTCAGTTTGGGTTTGGGGGAGGGGGTATAGCATACAAAAAAGTAAGTTTCATGGTGACATTGCTGCATATATACCATTTTACTTTGTTATTTTTATAAGTTTTGTATTATTTATTACTGTGATGTACGTGTGTGTGCTAACGCCGTACGATGAGGAATTAATGCCATCTACATGCCACGGCATGTGTGTGGAGGTCAGAGGACAACTTTCAGAAATCGTTCTCGCCACCATGGTTGCCAAGGATCTGAGATCTCCTGGTTTGTATGGCAAGAGCTCAAATCTTCTGAGTCATCTTGCCAAGCTGATTTGGGGAGTTTTTTTAGATGGGGATTCTCTCTGTAGTCCAGGCCTAAATCTATGCCATCTAAACTTGTATCAGGGCCCGGCTCCAGTCCCTCAAGTACAAGGATTACAGGCATGAGCTACCATACCCTGCATTCAGTTTTCAGGTGAAGATATATAATCTCAGAGACCTTAATTCACTTGTTCTGGATCACACAGCTGTGGAGAGCAAGGCATATCCAGGACACTCTGAATAGAGTCCCTTGATACCTGACACTGGGCACTTCTGGTTTCTGTTACAATTCTAGAGGCCATGGTATGGTGGTTTGAAAGAAAATGGCCCCCATAGGGCTTGATTGACACTATTAGGAGGTGTGGCTTTGTTGAAGTGGGTGTGGCCTTTTGGGAGGAAGTATGTCATTGTGAAGGTGGGCTTTGAGGTCTCATATATGCTCAAGCCACACCCAATATCTCAGTTCACTTCCTGTTGCCTTTGGATCATGATGTAGAACATTCAGCTCCTTTTCCAACACCACATCTGCCTGCACGCCACCATGTCCCACCATGATAATAGACTAAACCTCTGAAACTGTAAGCCAGCCACCTCTATTAAATGTTTTCCTTTTAAGAGTTGCATGGTCATGGTGTCTCTTCACAGCCATAGAACACAGGCTAAGAAGATACATGGGTAACTCTGTTGATTGTTGGAGCCCATGTGGCTCCAACACAAATATCTATTTTCCCTTACTGGACTGGTATGGAGGCGCAAGGAATAACCAGACACAACTTACAACATTATTACAGAAAAGGGCATCTCAGGCTTCTTCCTCCTGAAGATCTCTCCTGAAGATCTCTCCTGAAGATCTCCTCATGTTTATTCTCCAAATATCTTTTATACCAATACATAAACTGGGCAGGAAAATACATCATCATACTGTCTCCTAGGCAACCAGGTGAATGGCCTTTTGTCACGTCCACATCTACCTGTCTGCTGAGTATGCTAGCTGTCACATAGGCTTGAATTAGCATCTCTATAAGGCATCCTCTAAATTACAAAGAAAGGGAGCAGCCAACATCCTGACCTTTGTCAGGCAGAGCCAGCCTATCTGCAGGGCTACGTGATCACTTTGGATGAGCCCAATGGCTTCAGAGTCTGGCTGCTATACCATAAAGAAATATGGGCCTACAGTTGATGAAAACTTAAGGGAGATTTCGGGGTCTCTGGGATGCTCACTAACTGTAGACAGACAGGTCACAGGAATTCACCTCAACACTCAGCAGCCAGCATTGGCTCAAACCTCTGGTGTTTGACCCTGAATGGTTTATTTTAGGCATATTTAAGCACAGCACAATTTGATGAAAATTGGTGATAAACTGATCTGTTCCTCGAGGAACAAAGTAAGCGAAACTGGGTCCACTGTCACCATACTGAAACTCATTGTAAAGACTATAAAAATACGTTCTACAGATTGACTGAGAAAAACAAATTTACTGTAAGGGTCTAGGGGAAGTGTCCTGAGCTAGAGAAGTCTCTATCCAGAGCAGAGGCTGGAAGCATGGCTGTTACAATAAAAATAAAACAGCCACGAGGGGCAGCAAGTCCCAAGCAGGGAGCCACGTGGTAGGTGAGAGACAGAGACGGATAGACATGCCATGCAAAGTGAGGTTGGATATTTATTTAGTGAGTTATAAAAGGGAAAAGGGAAGGGGAAGAGGGAGGGGGAAGAGAGAAAGGGGAAGAGGAGAGAGAGAGAGAGAGAGAGAGAGAGAGAGAGAAACAGTCGGAGGACAGGAGAGGAGCCATGGCAGCAGTTACCTCTTTGGGAGAGAGACAGAAAGGAAGGAACTCAGGCTGCAAGTGGAAGGAAGATCTGCTTGCCTCAGCAGACAGGGGAGGGAGTGGGTGAGGCTTGTCTCTTAAAGAGACAGGACAGACCATTACAATGTCCACTGTAGCTTTCTGGCCAGATGACAGACAGATGTTAGGTTCCTTTCCTTGAAGGAACAAACGACACTGTGTGATCAACATTCTAGGTTCCCACAGTGCTTATCTGTGAGCAGAGGATACACTTCATCTAAGCAATCTTTAAGCTATGTAGTCATTATGTCCACAGACTGAATACATTTTTCCACAGAGAAAAGGATGGTTTACCATCATCATCATCATCATCATCATCATCATCTTTTTTTTTTTTTTTTGAGACAGTGTTTCCCTGTGTATCCCTGGCTATCTGAAATTCACTCTGTAGACCAGGCTGGCCTTGAACTCACAGAGATCCGCCTGCCTTTGCCCCTGCCTTCTCTGTGCTGGGTTCTAATGCTCTTTAAAATGTCAAGCCGGGTGGGGAGGAGACAAAGTTCAGCTTTACTCTGTCTCACAAAGAGGATCACACTGGAGTTGGAAATACAGATGACTGTTAAATTTGAAACTCTCTGGTTTGAGTTAACTTGGAAGGAACCTGCAGTATTTACATATGGCGATGTAGATTCTGAAGTATGAAGAAAGGCAACGCAGCCTGACCCAAGAAGACACTTTTTAAATTAACTAAGTTTTGGCTATAAAAGGAACTGAATCCAGGGGCCACACATGGTAGGCAAGTACTCCACCACTGAGCTCCATCCTCTGCCTCCATTTTCTTGTTTGTTACTTTTTGATTGAGACAGTACCCTCTTCTGCTACTCATGGTTGTGATAAATATTAATGGAAACCAACTTGGAAGATGAGAGGGTTAATTTGGTTTACAGATTACAGCCCATTACTGACAAAACCCTGGTAGTATGAATGAGAATGGTCCCATTATATAGAGTCGCATATTTAAATACTTGGTCCCCAGTTGGTGGAAATTTTTTGGAAAGATTAAGATTAGGTGTGCTTTGAGGTTTCAAAAGTCCATCCCATTCCATCTCCTTCCCTCCATCCCCTCCATCCCCTTTGCTTGGGCATAGAGTTTATTTAGTGGGTATTGTGAAGGGTATAAGGGTAAAGGGATTATAGACAGAAGAGATAAATAGAGGAGGGGTGAGGTAGGGAGAGAAGGGGGAAGGGGGAAGAAGGATGGGGAGAGGCAGTAGATCAGCTTGCCTCAGAGAGAGGGGAGGATTGGGGTGGGCGGAGTTTGCCTCTTAAAGGGACAGGGTACCCAGGTGGCAGGGAAGGCCAACAGAATGCTAACACATGGTATCCAGCAAATGGAAGGAATAAAAGTCAGCACCCCAACCTTTTCCTCCATGTGTACTGGTGTTTGCCTGCATGTGTGTCCGTGTGAGGGTGTCAGATCCTCTGAAACTACAGCCAGTTGTGAGGTGCCAGTGGATGCTGGGCATTGAACCCAGGTTCTCTGGAAGAGCAGCCAGTGCTCTTAACACCTGAGTCACCTCTCCAGCCCCATGTTTTTTGTTATTGTTGTTTTTACAGCAACCCGGATTTAACCATTAACATAACTCTTCCTGTCTGGGGCTATCATTCAGGCTTTTTTTATATTTGTTTGAGTGCGTGACATGATTGTGCACACCTGTACTACATTGTAAGCATCTGTGAGAAGGCAGTTTTTATGAGTTGGTTTTCTTTTCCTGGGATCGAATTCAGTCTTGTTGTTTTTTTTTTTTGTTTGTTTGTGTGTTTG